GTGGGAGGACATACAACAAAAACAGGAACCTATTTAAAGTTTTGTTTTCAGATTTCCAGCGCAATGTGTGAACGTAAAGAAGACGCTGCCCAATACACTTTGCGGCTAAACATCTTGATTGTTGCGGCGTACTTTCACGCCTCGTTTAACATAACAGTGTAGGAATGCCGGGCGGAGGGTGGCGCGAGGCGCTGCTAGCCGCGAGGGAGGGGAGCGGAGGCTGGATGGGCTCACCCCAGTGTGCTTTACAACACCGCAACGAGGGAGGGAGGGAAGGAGAGCGGAAAGGAGGGAGGGAGAGGGAAGAAGAGAAGGAGGGAGGGAGAGGGCAGTTAAAGCGAATGTGTGAGGGCTGAGTGCAGCAAGGCAGCGGGCCTCGACTGCACTAAGGAGGAGAGTGCGCGTGTCTGCCTTTTCTGCTCAGAGTCCGGAGCATAGCAGGGCCTCGTTACTAAACGAAGTCAAGCAATGTTCAAGTCGGCAAATGTTCGTGAAAGTTTCTTGTTACAAACGGAGCTGTTTTATGTCACTAAGGAACGTGTATATGTTGTAAAATCGAAAGCTCTCGTTTTTCTGGTTGCGGTTATCCACTTGTATTACTACGAGGTCAGCAGACTTTTGGGCCGGGCGCCGTTGTTTCTCTCCTGTCTTCTTTCTTTCGACAGTTGGTAGTCTCGCTCCCGACAGCAATCTATGAGCCCTGACGCGGCCCATCGCTGCCGCGGGAGCGCTCTCTGGTACAGCAGTGATCTGCTAAGCCCCCCACGCGCCGAAGCGGTCCTCTCTTTTATTCCTTTGATGAAATTTGAGAGAAGAAAACTCAGAGGGAACGCCATCACGCCGCACCCTGAATGCAAAACGGCCCGTTAGACGGATTGGAGAAGCAGAGAGAGAGAGAGAGAGAGAGAGAGAGAGAGAGAGAGAGAGAGAGAGAGAGAGAGAGAGCTAGGCGTCACGAGGCTACCATCAAAAGCAAATGCACTGCCCAACCGGCCCAACAGTTCTCTCCGCTCGCTCCGCTCACTAAGTTGCACTCCTTGCCGCTCTGTGGTTGGCGCGCTGGCTTTGGGCGGAGAGATTAACTCTCGGTGCTGTTTCCGTCAGCGCTGGACTGACTCGGCTGGACTTGGCACTGGCGTACCAGACACTTTACGTCCAATAGTCACCATACCGGCGTGAGGCGATAGCGAGCAGCTGGTCACGGCCTGCTCGGCAATCGGAATCGCAACCGCCCTGATTGCGAGGCCGTCGCGCCAGCTTTATTTGCGGCTCCGGGCCGTCACTCGGGACAGCGGCCCGCAGCCGGTAGCTGTCAAATTAGGAGATGCTGTCGCGTGCGAGGCGGAATGCGCGTGGCGGGGCGGGCGGGGCG